CTTATGTGGATTGCTAGTCTCAGGAAGATGCTTGGACCGAAGATGAAGAAGCGGGCAAACAGATCTAGAGAATAAAATGCAACCAAATATATCTATACATATACGAATATTAATAACGATTGTATTAATATATTGATGTGTATTTATTGTTGTAGTTGGACGGTATTATTTTAATTTACAATTTCAATTTGATTTAGTAGAATTGATGAGGTTGATATATGGATAATATAAAAACAATTATAGGATTGGGTTATGTATTTGCTAAATCTTGTTTGAGGTATTTAAGGTTGGATAAATAAATAAAAATATGTATTTGGATATATTATTTAATTTTAAGGTTTGATTAATATATATATATATATATGTATGTGTGTGTATATATTTATGTTATTTTATTATAATGTTTTTTTTTGGTTGGGATTGGGTGGTTTGGGACGGTTTTGAAATGGTGGGAATTTAGGTTTGGTTTTGGTTGGTAAAATATTAATTTAAGATGTTGGATTGATTTAGGATTGGAATGTGAATATGAATGTTATTATATTTTGGAATGGATAATTAAAGATTTTAGGAAAGGAATTTAAATATAAGTTATGGGGAATTAGGTATATGGTTTCCGTTCAAAAAGGCCGGCTAAGCAGCTATATGTAATATGTTTATAATTCCTGTTGCATTTTGTTTTTCTTTTTCGATATGAAGCGGGCCCTCACTTAAATAATACAAATCCCATTGGCAGCGCTAGCTTTGCGTTAGCTCGGCGCTAGGTCGGGGACGTTAGTTGACATGGTATATGAGATGCGCTCGTATGGCCCTTCTGTCCGGTGGCTCTCAGCGCTCGAGGCATTCTTTGCTCGCAACGCGAAAGTGTTGCGCCTGCCAAGAGATCTGCACGTGTCTTTTGCGAAAGTGATGCGCCTGCCATGCCTGCCCTTCCGAAAGCATTACGTCTGTTATGAAATCTGTATCGGACCTTGCGACACGTGACCCTGCGAAAAAAAGAAAACATGGGCAGTTTTTCGCGCTAGCTCCGCGCTAGCGCCGCGCTAGCAGGCAGTTGCCAACTTGAACGCGTGGGCACGTGCCTGGTTGGAGGCAATACCCAAGAAACCACTTGCATGTTTCTTAGCTGTAGTTGGTAGTCAGGCTAAATAAAGCCATATACTGTACGCATTTCCGTTTTGCTACTTGCTGAAGATGTGGTGTAGAACGTTGGGATTTATTGTGTGTTTAAATATCCTATTGCAGTAGCTTTAAGAAAAGGCCCGCGCTAGTACGCCTGTCAGTGGTTTGCACGTTTCTTAGTCAAACGTATTGTGCCGCAATGGTTACGTGTTCATATGGCCCGAATGATACGGGCCCCCATGGACTGGCGATTTACGCTACAAAACTGGGAGCCAACATTTTGACAACCAGCCATATAATTATTTTTATTTGGTTATAGGGAAAAGAAATGGAATTTACAAATTGATTTAAATTAACAAAATAAATAAATAATAATATAAATATTTATAATTATAATAATATAAATAAATAGAAATATAAAAAACCAAAAAATAATAAAACATATTTTTTTAAAATATATTTATATTATTGTTTTATTTGTTTTATTTATATATATATATTAATTTATTGTTTTATTTAATTTATTTTTTTATATTTTATTTATTTATATATTAAATTATTTAATCACAATATATTGTATGTTTAATAATTATATATGTTTTATATTATTAAACATAATTGTATTTGTGAATAATTGTATTGTTTTTTAGTTTTTGGTAATAATTATTATTTTGGTAAATAAATGAAATATAGATGGAAATTTTAAAATATGTTATATGTGATTTAGTGCCACGGCAGCGCCGTCCCCCATGGAGTGGAAGGGGAGGCGCGCCGTTTTGTATTGGGGAGCCCACCCTAGCCGCCCAAACTTGCACCTTTTAACGGGTTTAGGGTTCGCCCTGAGACGCCGGGCAGGCTCAACATTTTCTGGCTCGCTCTTCTTGTTTTTTTGGAGACGATAGTCCGCGATAGCGAGTGCTGGAACGAAAAGCGGCGCGCGCGCTCGTCGCCGAGGGGCGACGAAAATGAAAAGCGTTTCTGGGGGTCTGGATGGGGCGTCGACGATCCGAGCGTCTCTTCCGCAAAGCCAGGGGAGCAGGTGTTGCTCAAATAGGCCCCCGCGACTCTGTCTCCATCAGACGACGTCTCTTCTGGATCTTCGCGGATAACCTGCTCCGCCGCCACAACGGCGCCCGCCTGCCGGGGCCTCTTGTCTCCAAAGAGAACCGATGTCCCCGGATCTATTCCGGAGAGAGTCCAACACATCAACACGGATGATTAGAAAATGGATAGTTTCCGGCGGCTCGCAGTTCCCTGCAAACGCCGCGAGCGGTCCAGCTTGGCTTTTCCAAATTTAGGGCGGGAGATCAGTCACGGCTCAAATCGAGAACAAGGAGAAGCAAAACGCCTTTGGCTTCCCTTGGGTTTCCTTTCGGTTTTCCTCTGGCTTCCCGACGAATACGCCGCAAAAGGGCGCTGTCAAAAAAGCAAGCTTGACACGCCGGCGCGTTCGATCCATCTCGCAAAAGATTCTGGAATCAAGCCCGCCGATCGATGCTCACATCAATATATGCACATACAATTCTATCGCGCGCGCGACATTTCAAATCGACGCAGGCGACTGACGCGCGCCCGCAATCACGACCATCCGCCGCCCGACGTCTTCGAGGACTCGCCTGCGATTTGTTCCAATGTATCGCCTGGAAATGTTTTCAAGGCGGGCAAGACTGCGAGAAGACCGCGGGAAGATCGCGGAAAAACGCGAGGAGATCGCAGGATTGCGGCCAGACTGCGAGAAGACTATAGGAAGACTACGAGAAACCGCGGCAGACTGCGAGCAGACTACGGGAAAGTATCGAGAAAACTACGAGAGTACCGCAGAAAAATTACGAGGACTACGACAGACTATAAAAAATGATTTTTAAGTTAGATTTCGGTAAATATATTTTGTATATTAAATTTATATATATATAAATTTAAATTAACCGAATTAGAATTACGAAAATAGTCTTCGTATATTACATTTGCACTTATATTTTGGGTTAGTCGGAAATTACCCATTACAAATTAAAATAAAGAATTCCGTATCTTTTTATTACATACAATAAATCTATTTAATACCACAAAAATATAAAAAACTATATATTTATATTTATTTCTTTATCTATCTATATTCCTAATATCTATCTATTTGTTTAAATATATATATATTTATATCTCTTTATTTATTTATTTATATATTATATATTAAATATTCTTTTATATGTTATTATTCTAATTTTTTATTATATCTTTCTATTTTGTTCCTCTCTATTCTATTTAATATCTATATTATATTAAATTATTCGGTAAAATCCATCGACATTATTCAGTATATCGAATACCTAAAAGACCGTAACAATTTAATACTATTCCACTTAACGAAATCTTCGGGGAGCCGGTGTCGCAAAACAAGAATCCCAAGCTCAATTCCCCCTACCAACTCTTTGCTAGTTTAGGGTTCCTAAAAATCTAGAAAAAAACATGTGTTTTTAGACATCCTAATTGCGAAAACACTAAACAACCCGTGTTTTTTACGGGAAATATTGGGGAGCTAAGCGGAAATACAAAAAAATACAAAGAAATAAGAGGAAGAAATAGGAAATCGATATAATAAAAAAGTAACGAGAAATAAAAGGGTAATAAAGGGGAGCGAAAAAAGATATATAAAGGACACAAAGAAAAATAACAGGAGTATGGGGGGAATAAAAGGGAAACAAAACACAAGGCAACCAATCGGCACGACGGGAGATATAGGGAAATGGCTCGCAACGAAAGTATGGGACATACATAGAAAATAAAGCGAACATACCGAGAAAATGTCAGGGACATAAAGGGAGAGTTAAAAGGCATGGAAGGGACTCCATGAATAAAGACCCTTCATTTGACCCTCTGTGAGGGAACTCCCATAGGAGAAATTAGACAATTCCAAGAGGGACAAATCCAAAGGGAAACTTCTCATGGGAAGATTCCAAAAGGACATTTCCTGCGAGATTTCCAAAGGGAACATTCCAAAGGGAAATTTCCAGTGGGAAACTTCCAAAAGTAAAATTCCGAAGGACAACTGGGAGAATTCCAATGGGATAATTCCAATGGAAAAATACCCAAGGGAAACTTCCAATGGGTCAATTCCAAAGGGACGCATTTTAGAAAGCAGGCCTTGAAAAGTCGGCGGCCTGAGCCGGAGGCGTTAAAATTTAGATTCG